AAACTTTGCTATGCAGTTCAATACTATATTTCCCTGGCCCATGAACTTTTTCATGTTCCTGAATTATCATTCCATATCATTATCCACCCCCCTTCTAAAACTTCATAACCTATCTGCACTCTGAACTGATGAGCTCGTCTTCCATGCTACTGAGAAAAGGGAACAATTGGAAAAGAACCTCCACAAGTTGGGACTACCTGTCCAGTCCAAACCCTCCACCTCTGCACAAGATCCCACCCTGCCCTTCCCCATTTGCTCAGTTCTTCACCTTCTCTCACATCCCAGTCTCAATTTACTTACAAATGCTGACAGTTCTGTCTTCAAAATAAACTTATTCCATTTTCACTGCCTCTTCCCTGATCTAAGCCACTGACATCTCTCTGCTGAACAATCACATTAACAGGATAACTGCTCTTTCTGCCTCTGACCCAGAACTCTTTGTCTATTTGCAGCACAATTGGTAAGTAATATGGTTCAGATACAGGTCACATCATATAATTCCCCTTTACAAATCCTCCCAACAGCTTCTCACCTCATTCAAAATAAAAGCCAAAATTCAACAATGACTTTGGAAGGCCACTAAATATATGCCTCCCTACTTTCCCTTGTGATTTCACCTTCATTTACAACAATCCTTGTATGTAACTCCTCACCCACAGTGGCTTCCTTGCTTATCCTGAATCACTCCTCCAATAATGTATATCTTGTCCTCCTGCCCTCCACCCACATAGCCACAGGACTCAACTCACATGGACACTTCTCCATCAGGTTCTGTAGTCTGGTCTCCTTGGTGGATGTCCCCTGTCCCAAGCCAGGCTTTTATCCCCATTCCCCTTACCTGTTTTCTCCATAAGACCAGTCTATCTTTCATATCCACCTCTTTCCTTTAAAGGATTAATATATACATCTATATTTTACATGTGTATACACATATAAATGTACATAAATATGTATGTATAAATGTATATATGTGTATATATGAATTAGCATATACACATATAAATGTATAGTGCCTTTCTAGAATTTCACTGATGACTTTATATTAACTGGGGAAATAAGCATTGCATCTGTGAATACAAGGTCAGAAGGTGTTCATTCATTGCTGGAAATGAATGAACATTGCTTTCCTACTTTCTAGGAGAAGTATCTTAGATTGTATGGACTCTTGGATATTTGATTTCTCTCTCAGGCAAATAGAGAAGAGACTAAAATTACAATTTGTGTTTTCATTGTTTTTGACAGTTGAGTACAAATGCATATAAAATAGCTATTATAAGACATGGTAGAGATGGGATTAACAATAATTGTGTCATTACTTGTTAGTGATTATTTCTGGAATTGTATAGGCTGATGATCAAGTAGATGATAAATTCAGGCCATATTTCAACCTTCATCTGGTCCCTGTATTATTTCCATGGGGTTATTTGGTAATGATTATTATGGATAAATCTAAAATTGGTAGGAAATTGAAATTTAGCATAGTTTTAACTTTACTTTTACTGTGCCATTGTTGAAATGCATGGTTTCAGTTGGTTTGATGTCCATTGAAAGCACAAGGAGAAACAAATATGGTCTTTATAAGACCAATTCAACGGAAACAACTGCTTTTCAAGCCTAATTAACATAGAATTTCATGTGGACAAGTCAGAACTTTCAGAGTGCTGATTGTTCCCTTTGTTTGAATTTTCTGTGATGAGAAAGCCAAGTTTAAGGTGGCAAAGTCTTTAATTAAGAGAAGGAATAGTTGTTTGGCAATCTTAAGAGTTTTTTAAACCTGAATCCAAAAAGAATGATAAAAATCCTGGTATGATTTGGTGGTTCTAGATAAGGGACTTTATTTTCAGAAAATAACAGCACTACAGTATCAAGCACAAAAGATTTAATCAATAATTTTATTTCACATCATTGGTAATTGGAGTAAGTTCTAAACTTCTTTGAAATAAGACTTATAATGGTGGAAGGATGTTAGTAGGCTTTTAAGTTTCTCTTTCCATAAAGATGGCTAATAAGGAGTATAAAATGTTCACCACTAAACAGTTAAAAATAAGATTTTTCTTCCATAAAATCTGACCATTGGTGTGTTGAATGATATAACTATGCACCTTTACATATGTAAAAAAATATCTATTTGAAATATCACCTTTAAAATGTCCATTGTGAGGGTTTGGGAAGTGAAACACACACACACACATGCACATACACACAGGAGATTGTTGATGGGCTACATTTAAGAGAAAACATTCTTGCTGATGAAAAATGTTTTAAAGAGTAAGTCATTGGTCTTATCTCTGAGAAGATCAATTCCATTGAACCTAATTACTCAATATACTTTGGAATTGGAATCAGCTTCCTACTATAACCATCTCGATACCAATACAACATCCTGCCAGAACTGATTGTTGGAAGAAATAATTTGAACCAGAAACACTTAAGTAAGGAAAATGCACACCAATCTGGCCTCCTTTTTGAATTGCTTAAAACAACAGATTCTTGGCAGAATTGCCTACCTCCATTGCTCTTTACAGCAAGGATCAGTATCAGCCAATATTTCTTAATTTCTCCAAGATACTCAAAGGGTGGAAACATTATGAAGATAGGTCAACACCCTCGTTGTCTCCAAATTTCTGGTTGCTAATATTTTGTGAAATGTCTGCTTTTAATTATCCACATCCGTATTGCCAAGTTAGCAGGTAAAATTACTTAACTCCTCAAGAATCACATGCAGACTCAAATCATTAAAAACTTTTCCTTTGGGAAAACATATATCATATTAAGGGACTTCTCTCAACTGCCCCCATCCTAAAAACAGAATTACTCATCATCATCCTTGTAAGCAGTTGAAAGGCTACAACATTGAAACCATAAATAACATTGTAATTCTGCTCAGAGAAGTTGCAGGAAAAGCTGGACTACTATATGGAGATGGCCCCTGCAGAATCCTCTTACCTCAATGAACTGCTTTATCCATGAACAGCACCAGGCTAAAAGGGACTGTGAAGCCCAACCTCAAAAGAAATGTCTACTGGGTAATGATGCAGGCATCTGTGATTGACAAGTGCTGAGACTGTGCAGGATAAAACCACACAGAGAAATACTACCTTTAAAAAAGACCTTCTGTAATTGAGGGAGGTCTGCTACCTGCCTTCGCCTTACCTTAGTGTAAAGTCTAGCATCAAGGGAGAGAGCCTCAAAGACAACGGGGGATGACAGCTCATAAGACCTGACTGAGTAGCAAAGGTGAGAACAAGGCCATCTATCATTCCCAGGCTCTTCCTGTGATTACAGGTTGAACATTCCTTGTCTGAAATGCTTAATGTTGGAAGTGATTCAGACTTCAGAATTTGGAATATCTGTACATATATAATAAGATGTGTTGGAGACAGGATCCAAGTCTAAATACAAAATTCATTTATGTTTCATGTATACCTTGTACATACAGTCTGAAGGTAATTTTATACAATTTTTTTGTGTGTTTGCATTTTGGGCTATGAATCATTGCTTGAGGTCGGGTGTGGGGTTTTTCATGTACAACATCAGGTGGATAGTCAAAAAGTTTTGGATTTTGGAGCATTTCAGATTTTATGTATGTAAATTAGTTCTTAACCTATACTGTACTTCAGATTCTCTGAAAATTACGTATTCATTCAAGCTAAGGAGAAAGCCTTCATTTATATTAAGGCTGTATCTGGGAAAGGTTGATCAAATTACTAGTTGTATAAGCTTTATTTGAACTTACATAACCAGATTGCTTGCTTCCTAACATCTACTGAAAAGTCACAGAATTATGAAAGAAGAAGTTTTAAATAGAAGAAGGAAAAAGAAAGAGTCATTTTTAACCAGAAAAAGTTTGCAAAAAAACAACTTTCGTGCTTATTTTGAAGCTTGTAAGTTAGAGGGGAAAAAGCAGAATGTTAAGGCTTGGACCCAGCAGGCTTGGGAACAAAAGTCCAGGGAGGGAGGGGTGAATGTCATGGGTGTCTCTTTGTGCTAGTGGGCTAGCTATGGCTAATGACTTCTGTTCTGCCCTCATTTATATCTTGGTGTTTATGTTATGAGAAAAAATGTGCCCAAGAGTACAGTTTATTAATGAAATAGTTATTTTTCTTGGAATAGGATTTAGTAAAAATTCATGGTATTTTATATTTGCCCATGCCTATTTTGGAATCTGGCATCATTTATTCTGTTTCATAGGCTTTCTAAAATTACCCCCACCCCCAAACTCTTCCTCTTTCTTACACACACATACTCTTTCCCAGTTGATCCAATTAAGGATATAGGAAAGAAATCATTGCCATTATTTATTTCTAAAATTCAGATACATGTATGCTTTGGAGGGTATGCTGTGGAGGTAAAAAGATAATATCTGGACCCTGTACTTTCCATAATGTAATGGCTCTTATTAATTTTGACTGAATTTCCACTCTTTAAAATTGATAAATAATACAAAACTAGAAGAGATATGGATATATTTTAGGTGTTTTGTAAAATTCAAACAGTTGTAGACTCTTCCAGGATAGTTTCTACTTCTTTTAACTCCCTACCATTTATATTCCTAGACTTTTAGTGAATGAATTTCTTCTATGTTAAAAACATCTGGAGCAAAGTTTTTAATGTTCTTTGGATAGCATTGTTTTGGAACTAAATCTGCTGTCAACTAGCTATGTGACTTTAACACATCACTCCTCTAAATCTAATTCTTCATCTAGCAATTAAGGAGATTAAAGTAATGCACCCCCAGCTCCTCAGTGCAGACACAATTGTAATTTTATAGGACTATTTTACATCATCAGTTTTGACTGAAAGTGTTGGAGGTCTGAGAGCCACATTTCATGGCTGTGTTTGACAGTAACTTTGCTAACAGATGTGGGGAGGGACAGCCTGTGGAATTCCTTGAGGTAATGTTATGTTATACCAAAAATATCTAGTAGGGTTTTATAGACATGCCTGACATTTTAGTAGAGGCTTTGGAATTCTTGCAGAAATGTTTTACATAGGAGCTGTCATTTTTAATGTGAAAATTTTATTGTGATTTTACCATGGAATATTTTATCCTCTCAACCGTATTTTTAGAAACAAACTTGAGATAAAATCTTCCATAAGATAAAGAATCTTCATTATCAAGTGTGGAAATTTCCTTAGTTTCAACAGAGTATTACTATTCTAAAGTTTAAATATATATGTAAGATTAATGAAATACTTTCCATTTTGAAGTAGGTAATTTATAAAAGGTGATTCACTATTGACTATTTCACCATTCACAATGCTTAAGGGGGGTCTTACTGTCTTACAGTTTGGGCAGTATGCACTACTGTATCAGGTTGCTCTTATCATTTTAAAATCTATGGTAAATACATTAATCAATTAGAAAACAGATTTCCAGGTTTGTTTTGCAGAGAGACACGAATACTTAATTGAATTAACATGAAGACTTAGTGGCATAATAGAAAGGGTAGCAGTCCCTGTGGTTCATATGAACATTCTATGACAAACTGATGATGTCCCAGCCAAAGGTTCTCATCTAGCACCAATGGGCCAGTTAGCAGTGCACAATGCAGCTGAGCTCCACGTACAGATAGGATCTGGATGTCAGAGAGATGAACACCTTACTGTCTCCTCAGAATGTGTCATGGTAACCTTGAGATAAAAACAAATCAAAATAAGACAAAGCAAACAAGTGTAAAACAGTTTTACTTTTCAGTTCTAGTTCTTTCTAAACAAATGAAACCTTGGTGAGTCTGTTAATTGTAGACATCAACTTTACTGAGTCAAGAGGTGCTGGGTGTTTGGTTAATCATTTTTACTGGCTGTGTCTGGGAAGGTGTTTTTGGATGAGATTGACAGCTGAATTGGTAGACTAAATAGAGCAGAAGGCCCTCCTCAGTGTGGGTTAGACTCCTCTCATGAGTGGATGATCTGAATAGAATAAAAGGCTAGGTAAGAAAGAATTTTTCCTCTCTGCCTATCTTTGAATTGAGATAGTCTTCTGCCTTTGGAGTTAGACATGACCTTGAGCTTGAACTGAAACTATTATCATAATTTCTTATGCTTCTTAAACCTTCAAGCTTGAACCAGAACAATAACATACACTCTTCTGTGTCTCCAGCTTACTACTTCTTTTTCAATCTTAAGGAATTGAAAAAGCCTACTGTTCTAGGCTTTGATTAAACATTGGTTCTAAACAACAACAATAATAACAAAACAAAATGGATAAAAAAGTTGAGGGTAGGAAAAGAGAATTGGAATCTATTCAAAATTTCAAATGTGAACTTTTATTTAATTGAATAAATAAAATGATGCTAAGAAAAAAGTTAAAAATTTATGGATTAAAATGAAAAGTTATCACATACATATAATTGTAGTCACCAAAAGAAAAGAGAATGACACCAAAATTACATTACAAGAGATAATGGTATAGAATTTTTCAAAAGGAATTTTAGACTTTGAGCCACAGATTCGAAAACTTTTTCAAACCACAAACAATTAATACAAACAAACCTTATACTCATCCATATCAGACTAAAATTACTGAATACCAAGACAAACAGAAAATCTTAAAAATAGGCAGGTTTAAAGAATAAATTACTTCCAAAGGGAAAAAATACGGCAGATATTCATCTTTTCAATAGAAACAATGAGAGACAGAAAAGACTGAAATACCATTTTTTAAGAATTAAAAAATTGCCAAACTAGATACTATATGTTATAAGACATTCTTTTAAATTGAGAGTGAAGTAGAGAGATTTTCAGATAAACAATAAAAATTTTCAGCTCTACATCTATAATAAATAATTATGAAGAGGGAATCTTTAAGCATAATTAAAATTTTACCAGAAAGAAGCATAGTAGGTCAACAAGGAATGAAGAGAATGGGGAATGGAAATAAGTGGGCAAGTCTAAATGGAAATAGATTGCTTAAAGGGATAACCAGCTAATCATCCCAACAATAATAATATTTGTGTGTTTTAAAATAGATGCAGAGTTAAAAGTCATTAGACTAGTGAAAAAGTTGAGTACAATAATAGCATTACAAATGCCAAAGGCTCTTGCATTGCCTTGAAATTGGTGAAGGTCTGAATTTCATGTCAACTCTAGTAAGCCAAGGATATTGAAAAAAATGCTAGATATCAAGTAAAGCAAGGATGCATACTGAATAGCTCCTGTAGAAGTTAAAAGGCTAGTGATATAACCCCCAAACAACAGGACAATCTGATTTTGAAAATGGTTAAAGGACTTAAATAGAAATTTCTCTTAAAAAGTTATACAGATTGTCAATGACACATGCAAAGATGCTCAACATCATTAATCATTAGGGAAATTTAAACAAAGACCACAAGATATACTACTTCACTGTGATGAGATGGCTATAACCAAAACAGAAAACAAAAACAAAATTATTGATGAGGATGTGGAGAAATTTAAACTCTTGAGTGTTGTTAGTGAAAATGAAAAAAATGGTAAGCCACTATAGAAAATAGCATCATGATTCTTCAAAAAAAAAAAAAAAATTAAACAGAATTAGTATGTAATCCAGCAATTCTACTTTTTGGGTATACACTGAAGAGAGGTGAAAGTAAGACCTTGAATGGATATTTGTACATCCATGTTCATTAACAATCAAAAGAAGGAAGCAACCCAAATGGCTATTAATGAAGAGATAAACAAAATGTTATATATACGTTATATATAGATACCAATTAGACACTATTTAACCTTAATAAGAAATTTTGATGATTGAATCCTGCAAGCACTATGATAAGTGAAACAGCAGCCATCAAAGAACAGAGACTACAGTAACTTCTTATATGAAATACCCAGAGCAGTTGCCAGTGCAGGTGAAAATGGGTGTTACTGTGTTAATGGGCATGAAGTTTCAGTTTTGGGAGATGCAAGTAAGTTCTGGAAATGAATGTTAATGCTAACTGCAAAACAATGTGAATATACTTAACTCGACTGAGCTATACACTAAAAATGGTTAAAATGGCAAATTTTCTGCTTATACTTTGACACAATTTTTAAAAGAACCTTAACAACAACAAAAGATAATAATAGAATGTATTACTAACAAATTAAAAAAAAGGAAAAGAAAAGGAAAAATTAAAATAATTAAAAAATATTACAAGAGGTGAGAAGACACAAAGAACTGATGAAATAAGTTATAAAATTAGGGCTGGGGATGTGGCTCAAGCGGTAGCAGCTGGCCTGGCATGCGTGCGACCGGGTTCGATACTCAGCACCACATACAAAGATGTTGTGTCCGCCGAAAACTAAAAAATAAATATTAAAATTCTCTCTCTCTCTCTCTCTTTAAAAAAATAGTGAAGTTTTACCAATAAATCCAAATTCATTAGCCAATATTCATTGTAAAAGTTAGATTAAAAATTAAAATAGCTATACTACTTCTTCCATGAGATGTGTCTTTAATGTAAGAACAGAGTAGTTGAAATTAAAAGCAAGAAAAACAGTAACCAACATAGAGCTGTGTAACTACAACATTAACAGTCAAATATTTGAGGAAGTAGTTATCAGTAAATTTATTCAGTAGAAAGATATGCAAGGCCTAAATTTGTATACAAGTTATCCTATGTGCTCAAAACTGATAAAAAAGGACAAAAGGTTCACGATAGTAATTTGAGACTTAAAAAATGGCCAATTCAGTAAATGATGGATGACACAGACAAAAATTAAGTACTGTTTAGGTCTAAGAATTTAAAACTACGTAATTAAACAATTTGGCATAATATATGGCATATATAATATGCATCTATATATCACAAAATATACACATATGATGTGTGTGTATAAAACTGCACTCAACAACTGCAAAATGAATTTTTTTCAAGTGTGCATGTACATGGAACATTTGCCCAAATACGTTGACAAATGCTGAGACATAAAGCAAGTCTCAAGAAACTTCAGAAGATTTGGAAATGAAATCAAGAGAAAATCTATATGGAAAAAAAAACAAAAACACTGTGGTTTATCTGGAAATAAAAACAGCAGCAAAAGCAGAAAGATAACTAATAAAATCCCTGAACTTTGAAGATTAAGCAATAATCTTCTAAGTAAGTATTTGTAAATAATCCATATGCCAAACAAGAAATTATATAATTAGAAAATATTTTGAACTAAAACATAATGACAACATATTGGCATACAGAAATCTCTTAAATGTTGCTGTGGCCATGCACAGAGGAAGGCAGGTATAGCTATCAGTGGTATCATTCAGAAGCAAAGAAAATTCGGAAAAATCAATAGACTAAACTTCCATGTGAAGAAGTTGTAAAAAGAGCTAACTAAAATATAAGGAAAGAAATAATAAAAAGTAAAAATAAGAATCAATGAAACAGAAAATAACAGTTTAGGAAAATAAAGCCACAATTTTCTTATTTGAAAACAGTATTAAAATTGTAACCTTTTAGTAAACTTACTCCTTTTATTTTATTTTTTTTAAGAAAGAGATGGTGCAGATTATTGAAGAAAGTAAAAGAAGCTGTCTATACATACCTGAGAGACACAGGAAGTAAATTTAGATAGCAAAAACATTAAAGGACCACTGTCATTTAACCTACTAAGCTGACATAAGATGAAAGATTAAATGTAAATTTCCTTGTTATCTGTGTCTATATTCTTTATTCTCCGTCTTTTAAAACACCAAATCTAGGGCTGGGGTTGTACCTCAGTGGCAGAGCACTTGCCTAGCATGTGTGAGGCACTGGGTTCGGTTCTCAGCACCACATATAAGTAAAAAACAAAATAAAGGCCCATTGACAATAAAAAAAAATATGAAAAAAACCCACCAAATCCACAAATTAAAGTCTCCACTAAGAAAATTCCCAAACCCAAATGACTGCATTTGTGATTTTTCCCCAAAAGTGTTGGTGACAGATCTTACAATTACCACACAAACTCTTTTGAGAATGGAAGTGGGGGGAATACTTTCCACACTTATTGAGTGATTTGATTTTATCTTGTCTTCCTTTTCTTTTTTCCCATCCTTCCTTCTTCCCTTCCTTCTTTCCTACATCCCTCCCTCCCTCCTTCCCTTCCTTACTTCTTTCCTTCCTTTTTTTCCTGTTATTTCCCTCCCTCCCTCCCTTCTCTCTCTCTCTTTCTTTGAAAAGGCGTCTTGCTCTGTTACTCTGTCCTTGAACTCCTGGGCTCAATTCATCCTCCTGACTCAATCTCCTGCTCTTCTAGAACTACAGACACCCAAGTGCACGGCTTTTCCCAAAACTTTTTAATGTATAAGCATAAGTTCATGCCAAAACCATGGACGTTTCGTACAAAGACACTTATAGTTTTTTTCAAGGGCATAGGCACAAAAATATAAAACAAAATATCAGCAGAGTTAATCTAATAATGCATAAAGCTGACTTTGTTCTATGATAATATTTGTAAATTGATCAATGTGATTCACATTAATTAAATAAAAGGGAAAACATGCTTATCTGTTTAGATAGTATCAATATTGATTTTTCTGAGAAACCTCACAGCAAACTGATGATAGAGGGATATTTCATTGAACTAATAAAGTTGTGTCCACTGATTATTGTGTTCTAATAAATCATTTCAAAAATCAAGTTATATATATTTACATTTTTTCTCTTTATTCTGTTGGCTGGCTGACTTTGGAT